TAGTTATGTAGATAGCCGAAACGTTTTCAATCTATGCCTGCTGGTATATTCCAGTGTCACCAGGACACAAATCCGACTTTTAGATTTTTTTAGATAGACTATAATAGGCTGTTCAATAGTGCTTGGACAATGTTATTTAGAAGACAAGGACGGTCGACGCAGGATAACCTTCACTAATTTTGTTCAGGTAAACTTACTTACTTACTTACTTACGTTTATGGGGATCCCATACGAAAGACACAGCCATACGGCTGTAGTCCAACGACAATGATGATAATGTCATAGAAAGCTCTGATGTGTGAAAAATGTCAGATTTTTCCATTAACATTGTCGTTGAATTTTCGGTATATTCAGTCATCTCTCTGTGGTATAGAGTAGGTCCAACATCGGCGCTAGTGTCCCTGCCACTGTCCACGGTCACTCAGGCTGGCGGGCGACTATGGCCTTTTTTGACATGGCATCTTCTCTATATGTGCTTGCTTTGTTTTTACTTTGTGTTTATGAAAGATGGGGCACCGCTTGTGGCGGAACCGGAAGCTACGTGCAAACGTTACGTCGAGGAACTGATGGTATATGATTTTAAGTCTTCTTTGAGCGAAATGAATTTATACAAGTGGAGGAAAAGGGAGGGAGGGGGGACTAACCTGATTTCTACGTACAGATATTTATAAATTTCTAATGAGTAGGACATGCTTCTTGTCTCATACGTTGTCAATCAGGATGCAAATCGATACAATTGGGTATATATAAATTAGAAAAGAAATAAACATCAATAAAACTATTTTTATAGGATCTCTTATAAGCAAAGTTTTGCAATGGACGCAGTGATTCCAATATGGTATTTGAAGCTGTCATTTTTCATCTGGCTTTTTAAAATAACCCATCCTGCACATACAATGAGTCTATATTTGCTTCACAATAAACCTTAAATAGGGTAATTAGAATTCGATCTTGACTACGCATGGCTAAAACTTCGCTATGAATATATAGACAGAATCATGGTTGTATGTAAAAAAAGTTTCGCAGTTCCATCATGTCGGTATCATAACGCTATGATTCATAATCAGAACGAGAGGCGCCGTCTATGTTTAGACGGCGTCCGATCGTTAAACGATACGCAGATGTTGTGAGATTTTCGTCGTCTTCCATCTCTTTCTTCGTTTCTGACTATGGAAAAGCTTGTAGATTGAAAATTGTACCTTTTCATTCCAATGTGTCTATTTCGACTGGCTGTATTTTTATTAACTTGTATTTGGCGGCACGGAGAATCCCTCGTCTCGCTGGCCCATTGCACCAATAGAAGGGTCATAAACCGAACGCCTCTTGCGATCGTTCTATGCGTCTAATCTAAATCTGCGTCGATTCAAGCGTTGTCTATTTAATACGCGGCTACTAGTGACGAAATATTGAATGCGGTACATTGATTTCCCTTTCGATTTCGTATTCACGCTTTGTCCTGGCTTACCATATGGGAAGGCTTTACCTGACTGTTTGCACCAGCCCATCGGGCTATTATAGGACTACGACGATCCTCATCACCGCATTATAGTTCTAACGAGGCCATCATTACCGATACATTTATCCCAACTGAGTGGACAGGCTTTTGATATGATGATGATGTATCGAACACTCTATTCGTGAGCGTTCATTTTGATTCACTTGCTAGCATTTCGAGAGCTCTCAGACCGACCAGATCTCGGAACGAACCACATCCACTTGATATCATTGATCCGGACCATCGGCGCATACGATCGAGGTTATCTAATGAAATGATGTCTTTTCACCTCAATAGTGACAACATGAGGAAGAAAAACGTAGCATCGAAGAATCTTTACCATTAGCGTGCGTCGGAAACAAGCCCAACGCACAAGCGCACACGTGTGATGCATGTGTATCATTTAGTACTATCAATGTAAACTAGGATTAAATAAGTATACGAAATACGTAAGCAGGTAAAATAGATTTGATACCATTAGGACAAAGCTGATCGGTGCTGACAAGAATGGCTAGAGATAGAATAAATAAATAATCAAAGAATAATAATGGATACTGTGTCTGAAGATATTAAGGCGATTCAATTAACGTATATAAGATATAGACAAGCATGATGTTTTCGGCATTGATAGAAAGTATTATTGATCTATAGGCTACATAGGAGACGAACCTTTGGCGGCAGCTTACGAAATAACCTTTCCTTCGAGATTGTTTTTCTTTCTGTCTTTTTTTCCTCATTTGTACATGTACTTTGATGTAAAAAAGACAGTAACAAAGAATCTACAGGTAGAAGTAACGGTTGCCTAGCTGGACAAACCCGCTAATCTATAGAACGTACCAAAGGTAGATATACAATGTAGAATAGTGCAGAAGATAAACAGACCAACTAATACAAGTGTTACTATTACCACTACGTTTATGTAAGCTTCATAAAACCTAAACAGTTGTATTATTAAGCACATTTGAAGTAAGCCTCCACTTCCCCTTCCTCCTCCCCGAGAGGCCTAATAACTGCAGCAGAATGATATATTTTGTTACAATTAGCTGAATGTGCTTTTCTAGTTTCGTTGCTGGCAATTGGAAATTTTGTAAGTAAGTAAGCAAGTCTTTCTTTTCTGTCAACTTGTATGAGTACCTATAAAACTTGAAAACTTATCTCGTTTGGTGGGCGCACATGGGTAAATAAACGTTCAGCGATATATGTTACACATTGCGAGGAACAGTCAGACTGCCATGGCCCTGTGTGTCGATATCTCTGTGGGGAGCCGCCATTTTCGATACTCTCGTGGTTCACGCCGTTAACTGGCTGTTTCTTTTCAATCGAAAGTACCGATCGTATGAAAGAAAATTCTGCGCCTGCCAAAATGTATACGTTGAAATATATTGAATAGCTGTATCTAGCTGGCTGCTTAAATTTTAAGGAGCTACTCGACGCGCTGGCTACTTGATTGGTTGTCCTAGGCGAGGGTTCCTGCCCACCACTAGGCCTGTGCCTAACGGTGAACGCTTAAACGCTGTTGGCTTGCAACAAGATGAACTTTTACCTCGAGGTTCGACGAAAGACGTCTTAAGTTCCCAAAATCTCACCCACGTCCTACTTGTAGCGCTGAGCTGTCAAAATTTGATTCATTCATCTTATTCTATTCGAAGGCTTGGCTAGCTAGGATGGCGAAGGCTTTTCATTTATTATGATTATAAGATCGGCTATTTAAGTTATTGAATTGCAGTAGGCCGAACCATTATTGACCCTTAGTTGGCCATGGATGGAAGAGGACGTTGATAGGATAGAGATGGTGAACGGTAAACGAGGTTAATTTTGTGTGCCTTCGAGTCCTAGCTCCTATGTATTAGGAACATGGGCAAAATCTTCATTCATAACAGGTGTACCTTGCATTATCACATGGGCCGCCGAAACGTAGAGCGCAAAGCAAGAAATTAATTTTACGGGAAAATTTAAGTTCATACGCTAACCAAATCACAATCAGCATTATCGTCGGGTCTTTTTTGGTTCATTTTCATTCGTTGCTTTCTAGAGAACAGTGAGCGCAAAATGTATTACAATGAAATGATAGAAAATTATTCCTAACATAATCTTTCTGCACATGTCGTTTAGATATTCATTTGGAAAGAAATACTCGGATTGAACTTACGCAATAAATTATCTCGCATTTCCACAATTAGGTTAAAAAAAAAACAGGTGACAAGGATTTTTCAAAAATTAATTGGTGGTACATCTAAGCTAAGCTTTTCTTCCTTGGTAGACTGCTATTTCGAGCTCTGCTCAGTCGGTATGGTACATATGATCATAATTTGTGATTAGACGTATTCTGTTTTATTTATAACATCTGTAGAACAAGCAGTGACATAAACGTGCCTATTAGGAACAATATGTATTTTCACAAGCTGCAAGCCAATCAACCTCGTCTAATGTGATAGTCCATCAGTCCACATCAGGAGAACTGCGGTAAACCACAATCTCTGTGCATGTCAACGATGTTAATCGGCACGAAAGAAGGACCAGCTATAAACAACATGCTTTTCGCTGCGCGTCGCTACATCTTCTCACCTGAATAATCGTCCTATCCAAAAGTTGGGTCTAGCATCCGTAAGGGGATTGGCCACATAGGTTCTTACTCACGCTTCTAATCTTCTCTGCCGAAGGAATTCTACAATCCGCCAAACAAATTTATCACTGGATTCACGAATCCCTAGTCGAATATAATACAGCATTTATAGGATATATTTTATTGTGTGATGCAGCGTGACGTCAATGCTGAAACCACAGGATTAGTTCCAGTTTCAACGTCACGTCAGATTGAATCGCACCCCGTTTATTATTACTGTTCAGGATCGCCGGTACGATGCTGACGATTGGCAACGAAAAAGTTGAAAAAAGAGTTGTTGAACTTTATTGATAAAACGGTTTAGTCAGACCAGCAACGTGTCATGACTGGTGACCTTTCTGAACATGTCGACGTAGAGTAGGGCCTTTATTTAAATATTAAAAAAAAATCAACTTCGGGACATGAAGAAAAACTATCATTGTAGTATGCTGTGTGAGCATAGCTTTTGTTGGCAAAATACCGATAATATAAAACAGTATAACTATTTTATATAGATACGTTCTTCTGTCGATTTCCTGCGCTTTCTCGGTTCATGATAATTCTTAGTGGGCTATAGCAAGGGGCCGCACGAAGGTTTGAAGACGTCGTGCCGTAAATTTCCGAGTGATACACCATTGGAACTGTCATTTCCTACGACCCACGAGCAAAATTATCTGAGGCTTCGTCCTCAATTGTGGAAAGAAAAACTTATAGGGGCTTATATATTCAATGCCCTATAACTATGTTAGCTTTCTAAAATTTGCGATATAAGATGCCTCTACTATAAAGGCCGTTGCGCTGTCCTCAGATTTCATTATAGCATAAATATGATTGATACGGGTTGAACTATTTTGATAGGACGGTGCAGTGGCAGCATATCTGCGTACATGACTCATAAACGGAGGAAATTAATTTAAAATACGAATCTTCGGATAGACGCTTGTTTAATTTGAGCTGAAAGTCAACCATCTCCATCGTCATCATCCTGAAAGGAAGTTCCGGATGTAAAACACCAACGGTTTATCAAAACAAACTAGGATTAAGTGAAAAAATATTAATAAAACGTTATTTAGCAAAAAAAAAGAATGACCTATTATTACAAGTTCATATTAATGATAAATTCGTTTTTACCTACAATTTGCAACTTACAACCTGCGATCATCCAAGGGTTGCTACAATATAAGCCGATTTTATTCAGTGTCAAATTCTTTGGCATCCATTGACACTTCCTTCTGTAAGGCGTATGTAAAAATCTGATATGCCCTGGTTAAGGCAGGCCAAAATCATTGTGGATTTTCTAAATAACGCACTACTTAAAGGTTTACAAGATCGTGTGTTATAAAAAAGGGAAGTTCTAGTATAAGATACATATATGTGCTTTTCGTACAAATGATACGTGTCTCCTCTCCTAGTTGATCACGTGAAAAATAGTAGATATGTAAAACTCTAAATAAACCTTACCAATTAGATTGGTCTAATATAATAAGATATATACGAACAACTCACACATCATTCTAAATAATATTACGAAAGACAATTGTATTCAGTTGTATTCCATGCGACTCTTAAGCTTAAATTTCTCTTAGACAGTATTGTACTATGTGTATAGTATGGTAGATGCGCATAGCATATATCGCAGATGAGCTCAAAGAACCCGCAAAAGTCATGCTGCTGCCTAAAGGAAGAACACCCACGTTCGTCGTTGCCGTCCTAAATGAAGTGACTCTTCATATGATCGCCTGCTTCACTCATATCCTATTGGATGCTTGACGCAGTCTCACCGCAGGATGCTTCTAACTGAGCCACTTGCCTCTGATCGGCCGAAATGCTGCTGGGAATCAATAACAAAATATAAAGCAGATAACATACAAGTTACGAATCGAACCTGCGACCGTACGGTGCACGATCTGAAAAAAGCGTCAACCATAACAAACTATGCCTTACATTAGGTACTTTTCTTCCGATTAGATTGACGCTCTCCCTCCATTCTTCGTTCCACGACAAACGAGGGTTAATATAAACAGGACTAGCTTTAGGTGAAGATGAATACATACGTATACGAAATCAAGACATTAACACTTTAATATCCACATTCATTATAGAATACTAATATCTACAGAAGTGGAATAATATTAACAAACAGTTACAGGGTTACCATGACTGTCGGTGCTAGCCAATGCTTGAAGGCAACAAAAACTTCGTCTCGATCCTCTCGGGTGTAAACCTTTCCATTATCCGATTTTCTCTGATTAGCGACAGCGTCAACGGCAATCGCACCTGCTACCGGACAAGCCTCCTTTTGGCGAACGACTTAACGATCGTTAACATTAGCATGAAATTATTGCTCATGGCGGCAGTGACAACAACAACAACAACAATAACGCTAATAGTAGTGTGTGACATTAACATATTTTTAATCAAGGGCTCTGTCCATCCAACTCTTAATGATTCCTGTTCATAGACAAGAAAAAGCAAAAGATATAAACGGCGAAGACCGAACACGTAGGATAGGTCATAATAAAATCTATATGAATTTGTAATATACTGTATTATTACTGAGATCGTTTCAGCGCATAAAAATAGATAAGATACGATAAATTCTACTTATCTGTATCCAGATGAATAAGATGATTAAACAAAAAAAAAAAAAAAAAAAAGGAAAACATCTGCCATGGTAATAGAAAAGTAATTAAGAAAAAAAAAATCTTTGTCTTAGTTACCCCGACGTGTGAGTGAATTATAAGTGCATTTTGTCAAAGTTCGAAAGCTCAAAGCATCTTGAAGAACGACTGAGTTCTATAAAACCGTATAATGATCGCAATCAACAGTCGTTATGGGAACTATCCTAAATTGACACACGTTAAACCTATTAAAAACGATACATTATGCAATGGTCATTTTAACGTTTCATTGCGTAAACAACTGGAAAAAAAATATTGCCTTAAATGTAAAGGTGAGATTTTATTGTGAAGTAACAGATTTTCTCTTGGGAGAAAATAGACTTACTAATAAAATACGTGCCCTTTATATTGTTAGTCCATTTCGTCGTTGATTTTAGCTCTGTATTCTTTCTAAACTGAGACCTCGTTTCTTATGGAAGAATTAGGATTTATATTTTTTCAGGGATACTGAGTTTCGTCTTCTCGATTTTCGAAATTCCCCGTAAGGATCGCAGTAAATTTTAAAAATACGGAAGCTTGAAAGCTATTTCAAACGCTATAACTCTTCCCTTTCTGTTAGATTGTAGATAGGCACAACGGTGAAATAAATCAATATTCCTATAGAGAATAAAAGCTTCTTGGTCTCGTATACCGATTTAATTTAACACTATTTGGAGTGTAACCTTTTCTTAATATTCAACCAATTCTTACTATTTGGTTATTGAGTCATCAATTTACTAAAATAACATAGAAAATTCACGAGGTAAATTTTTTTTTTTTTTTTTAAATTCATTCAAATTTATCTAATATTGTAAAATTTACATTAGGCGGTCGATATTATTGCAGATAGTAAATGGCGTTAGATCGTACGTATTTAATAAACAAGCGTTTCGGAGATGGATGGGCGATTTCATGCCCATTGGTCATTTGTTAGAAACCTATAGCCCGTAATATGATATAAAAACATCTATAATAACGTAGTAGTGATCATTCCATGGGCCGCGTCAAAGGAACTATTAATATTATTGTCACGTAAAAGATTCGATTAGAACAGTGTAAAAGCAAGGTTTTTTTTTTAAGCTGCGTTTGGGTATCCTTTCTTTACACCCCAGGAGAACTCGATGTCCGTGATCAGTATATCGAATTGTGTAGTCTTCAAAGTTATTAAGATCGTTTTTACTGGTGGCTACATGACAGCGACGCCTAGTACTGCAATGGATTCAAAACTCATACCTGGATCCTCATGACTCTGAAGTCAGAACGAGCTAATGAAGGTCTAATTATAGCGTTGCTATTCGTTCGTAATTGTTTTAGTTGATATTGCCTATCTTTCGTGACGCTGTTGCTTTGTAACACTTATAAGCAACACCTATCGTAACAGACGAAACGATCGGACCGTCTGAATCAAAATATCATCTTCCACGAACCTTATCTGGGTAAAGTATAGGGGGTAAGGATGCGTCATGACATTGCAATAGCTGGGTAGCAGAATGAGTCGCCAGCATAATAGAAGAAGAAGAAAAGGGCAACGATATGACGCTTTTCGTACATGATTTTAATATAGATCGTACTAATTCTACTTTCCCTATTCGAAAGCAATAGCTTCGTAATAAGTTTCATTGTAGTAAAGGTAATCACGATAGTAATGTAGGTTCGTCTGCTATCCCTTACGGCAGCTGCATAGTTACGGTCGTTATCGTTCATTTAAAGGGTCTGCGTGGTTTGACGGCTAAAGCGCACGTTTCTGAGTGCGTTACCATAATAACTATGAGCCTGCGGCCATCGTTGGTCCAAATTTTAGCGTTAACAAACGACTGCTATGCCGTTTTATAGGTCTATTAGAAAACACTCAGCTTAATCTAGCTAGATCTGCCTGAGGTAGTGCTTAATAGCTTAGATACGGGACCTGAAAAAATCAAGCCGATACCGGCGACAATTTCAAACGAATAAGAATGACCTGTTGCACATTTATATTATCGTTCCAGATAAATACTTAATATTAGTATTGTTATTACAGATAAATAAACTGAATATCCCATATGGATGATCTGATCATTGTCGTTGATTGGTCGTTTACTACCAACGGTTCGATGTAAGCAATTTTTATCGCCGTCTAGCGACGGCTATCCTAATTTGACGGAGAACCCAGCTTGAAGAGGAGGAAGCTTAGCCGTCACTTTCATCGAACGTTTTGTATGGATTACTTATAACAAGGTGGTCCGATGTATGTACTTGATGCCCTGTTTCAGTTCACGTACATCTAGTATATATGGACTAGGCGGATCCGAAACACCGAACACTTGTAAGACGTCGGTCAAAGGCAGATTCGACCCCGGACAAAAACGGGTCATTGAAACAAACCAACTTAGATTTTTCGTCGGCTGGCGTCACAGTCACTCGCTCTGACCTTATATAGCCGCCAAGGTGTATTTACCCATAGATTAATATTACATTTCCTTCGTTACAGTTCGGCTACGGTTATCCGGCGGCATGTCTTCATCCCGCAACGGATCTGCTTTAGCGCTGAGTTACTTTACGTTACCCTCTCTAAACTTTCTCGTCGTCTCTTCGTGTGCTTCTCCGGCGGCATTCTCAAGCCGATAATAGAACAACTGGCGGCCTTCGACACGATCGCGAATGTCCTGCACGAGCGTCTGGCGACAAACCCAGGCACCCAGACCTGCCGACAACCAAAATCCACTTTTTTGTCGTGGTAATGTTCATAATGATAGCGGCTGTTCACGTCACTTAACAAGACTGATGCTCCCCTCTCAGCGGAGAATTCGCGGATCCTCGGTAAACGGGGTAGAGAGGGACATATACGGCAAAGCCATGTACGAACGCACGTACTTCAACCTAGGCCCTCTTCCGGGAAAATTGCACGTCATTAGTGGGTGCGCAGTTTTACTAACGTCTGGCTACCTCGGTCACAAGGTGGAAATATTAACGCTTTAGCTAATTTTGGTACGATTGGTCGTAATATTCTCAGATTAATTTCAGATAGCAAGTCTTCGTTGAGCATGAACTCACAGACCCTTCATTTTTCCTACAAAGCTCGTTTTACAGCGACCCATGGAGGACTGGCTAGTTGATGCATTATGATCTGTGCATTGAAAATGGCATTTTTTTTAATAGCGAACAGACGGCGTGGGCTGTCTGCAACACAGCCTGGTTCGTCTTGCGTTGTCGACTCCCACTCCTGCCCACGATCCCTGCGCATTGATATGCTCTGTGCCACAACAATAACGGCAACTGGCGTTTTTTTCTTTGCTCGTTACGCTTCCGGAAGCGTCCGTCAGACTTCTTCAGTATGAAAGCAGGCCAACTCGACGTACGAATCGACTCTAACCACCGTAGAGTTAGCAAAAGTGGCCGATTTCGCGCTTCTTTAGAAGTTTGCCAGGAATACGCTAAATTTGAACTCAACCAGGAGTGCTCGTTAGACGTACGCAAGCCATTGGAACGTCTTCCTGTTTGTCCTATAGGGGCAAAAAACGGTTTCGGTGGGCCGATTACCTCCGATGGAAACGTTTGTACAGCTTATCCTTAAAGCTTTTCCAGGTCTTCCTGAAACCGATCTCGAGATCGAGCCAACTACATGTCACTTTTTGCAGATATCGACGTGCCCACTTCAAAACCTGGACCGATGGCAATTTCCGTTTTTCTGTAAGCCGCTTATACTCCTCACCCTGATGTTTGAACTTCCTCTCGCTAAAAATCTGTTCAAAGACATGTGTGTCTCGAGCGATGGCTGCACGGTCACCATCATCAACTTATGTGGTCTACTTGTTGCTTTTGTAATTAATTTATCGAATCGACAACTGCTCAGTTAGTTCTACGCTACAGTTTAAGGCCTAGCGAAATATGAATACTTCCTTCTCTCTTTTTGGCCGCCTCTGTGTGACTTTTCTTTAGGTCGTCTTTCTGCGCTCTCATTGATCCTTTTCTATCTTCCCCATAATAATAACGAGCGCTCAACCGCGCTCGTTATTATTATGGGGAACGCTGGCCTGCGTTGCTGTTATGAGTGGAAAGTATTTCACAACAGCTAACTTCTCGTTGGTAAGCAAGAGTCTCACTTATTACTTTAGCTTTATGGCGAATAATGATTAGAATGACTGATGGAGCGTTGCACTGCCGCAACGATGATTGCGCTGCTGCTGCTGTCGGCAACAGAGTAGATAGGGGTATGGACGTGTTTGCGCTGATTGTAGCAGCCGAGAACGATCCAACTGTGTCCTAGTAAACCGATATATATAGTACGTTGCTCTCTTCCACTCTTGGTGACTCGCGCTTTTGTTCGTACTCTTTTTGGCTTGTTTGAAGGGTTAGTTTATTCGCCAATCGCAACGCATAGCTTCCGGGGGCAGAAACAGCAGCAGTGGCGACGGAACGCTCAACGCGGACTACCTGCTGCTGCTGCCGCCGTGCACTTTTGCGTTATTTATGAGCCGGTGTGTGTGTGTGTGTGTGTGTGTGTGTGTGTGTGTGTGTGTGTGTGTGTGTGTGTGTGTGTGTGTGTGTGTGTGTGTGTGTGTGTGGGTGTGGGTGTGTGGGTGTATGTTGCAATATGTGACGCAAGGGGCAGCAGAAGTTGGGCCAGCACTAATATCGGTGCCGCAACGAATTGGTCCTAGTCAGGCGCTTATCCGGACGACTCTGGTCCTGCGCCTAAGTCTTCGAATGTCGTCTGCCGTGCAGTTCTGATCGTTGTCTGTCAGCCAGCGGTTTCAGTCCGTCGTCAGTCGACGTTGCAGCGTTCTAGCCAGCGCATATAGGTGCTGTGTTTACCAGCTGACTTGTCGTCATGCTGCAGTTAAAAAAAGGGGAGACATCGGCCTGCATGCCAACTGGGTATTAGCTAATCTCCTGGCATCATCTGAATAGTGCGCTTGGGTCTCGAACAGCTGTGTGGACCACTCACCTCCGTAGTTAGCAACATTCGCTAATAA